AACACAGGAAGTGTTTCAAAAGCAAATCCTGACCCTGGACCAGAAAGAACTACATGTACTAGGCCATGCCTTTTAGTTTTAGAACTTCAAGATATGTTTTACTGTGGCATATCTTCTGTTGGTATCATACAGTTGAAGTGGGGTCCACCAAATGCAAGCAAATTGGCAGTCACACACAGAACGGAGAGCCTTCCAGTGGGGGCCCACAAGGCACTCCATTTTAAGGACAGCTCTTTATATTGGTTCTTTTCTGGCTCTGACATGCTCGGCTCCTACCCCTCCCTACTGAACGCCAAGAAGACTTTTCATAATGCCATGAGTCATTACATGTTAATGAAAGGACTGTGTGAAAATAAAGATAAGAGTTTTGGTTTAAGACACAAGCTGCAAAACTGTAGATACAGTTGCATATAAATACAGTTTTGTGCTGCCTTCCATCCATCCTGTGTCCTGTATCTCTCCATCTCCTGGAGATGAGTAGGGTGACTGTGCTGCACTCTTGGGCACCCCTAAACACACTACTGTGGAGAACCAGCTCCACAACGGTGTCGCTTTAGTGCTTGACAACTCCCTGCCTTCTTGTCCCTTTACTTGCCGCATATTGAAGAAACTCTAATGAATCCATAATGGACGGAAAGAGAAAAGGTACTATCAGATGCTGGTGTTATATAAAGAATAACACTAAGGAGCCATCTTTGAACTTCAGTTTTACCCTTGGGTTTGCCTTTGTGTGCGTGCATGAGTAATGGCTTCATGGAGTTTCTCAGACAATCCCATACTTCCTGGACAGCGGCTCTTAGAATGCAGGGAGTCCCTACCCCTGCCCCAGTGATCCTGGCTGCCTTTGGATTGCAAGGCTTGTGTGTAATGGTCTTTGGAAAGGGGACTTTCAGAGATGGGATTTAAACATTGACTTGTTATTAAAAACTTTTTTCCACTCAAGGGAGTTTGCACCTGAATTATAACAGCAGAGGAGTGCTTTTGTACCCACGATTTGAGCAGGATTCCACAGTCACAAAGAGAACAGATACATTCGTCATTTGGGAACTGGATTTCCCTGAACTCAATCCCAGTGATTGTCTTTGTCTTGGCATATAAAAAGGAAAGTGTTACTTACTCTACTAATTGAAATCATATGGTACTTATCTGTTGTGATGCTGTATTGCTGGATCCTGTGGAGCTAGAAGCACATGTACATGAAACCCCCACTGTAGACAGGATGCCCTCCCTCCCTACCCTGGGTTCACCAAAATTTGCTTTGTGCTCTTGACAAGAACTAAAGGGAGATGGATTAATATTACTAAATATTCAAAGGAATAGATTTTCTGATTTCTAAAATTGAGTTTTATTTTAATTTAAATTTTTTTTTTTTGCATTATACGGGTTTGGTCTGCATGGGTGTGCACCATGTACATGCAGTGCCCACGGAGGCCCGAAGAGTGCATCAGATCCCTGGAACTGGAGCGACAGTTGTAAACTGCTAAGAGGATGCTGGGAATTAAACCTGGGTCCTCTTCAAGAGGAGGATGTGCTCTTAACCACTGAGCCAACTCTTCAGCCTGGTTTTATTTTTAAAGATGTATTTATTATTTTTATTTATGCTTACATGAATTTATATGCACCATGTTTATGCAGAAGCCCTCAGACTCCAGAGGACATTGGATCCCAAGGAACCGAAGTTACAGGTGTTTGTGACCCACCTGATGTAGATGCTAGAAACCAAACCTGGATCTATCTGCAAGAGCAGTTAGGTGCTCTTAATCACTAACCCGTCTCTCTAGCCCCTAAATTAGATTTAAAGTGGAGTTCACGCTGTAGGCAAGAGAGACAAAAAGTGATACCAATGTGAAAATTGCTGCATTTTGAAGCATATCCAAAGCGTTGGCCTGTTTGTGGAGTATTCAGCTCCGTGTGGTCCTCTGTGTACATATCTACTGCCATTCCAAGTAGGGGCTTCTGGGTCAGGGAACAAGCACACCTGATCACCATGGAGGCCCTGGCTGGGAAACATTTAGGGACTTGCACAAAAGGCAAAAGGAAATGGAGGACCAAGCGAGAGAGCAGAACTTGAGAGTCTGTTCCTTCTGAAGTCACGCAGTGAACTGAGGCTCCCAGCTGGTCTCTTAGGAACTATGCCTTGTGCCAGCCACGGCAGCACAATGCCCATGGGCTTCACTGGGCATGTCCTGGACAAACCATCTTCCTTATGCTACTCAGGAGGGTGAGAAGCTGCCAGGCTGAGAAAGAGGCATTAAGAAAGGTGGAGGTCCTGAGTCCTCTGCCACAATCAGGCATAAGCATGACCTTTGCTACCTCCCAGGTGCATGAGAGCCCCTGTTTTATTTGTGCATGGGGGGGGGCTGCTTTGCAGCTGAGCTTCAGCTATATATGATGTCGATGCACATGTGTAGTTTACATAGCAGCATTATGTGCTTAAATCAAGAGAAAAGAGAAAGGGAGAGGAAGTAGCATTAAGAGATGTTTAATACTGTTTCTAAGTATGGAAACAGGAACCAGAGTTTTTAATCCAATAAAGGACATTTAATTCTCACTAATAGAATCCCTGCTACATCAGGGTCAGTGGTTCTCAAACAGGGGCATGTATCAGAGTCCCACGGAGGGTGTATCCCCTCAGAGGCTGCTTGGCATCATCCCCAGGGTTTCTGATTGAGAAGGTTTGGGGCCAAGGCCTGGGAATATGCCCAGTTGACAAGTTTTCAGGCTTTGCCGGTTAACTAGCCAGTGTAGCTTCTAGCAGAGAGAGAAGCGCCACAGTGCCCTCCATCTCTGGAACCCCTGTGGGACCTGACTGAATGGGGAGGAGCGCGGCTTACCCTCTGGATTTCTGATTGTGGTCCAGAAAGGCAAAGGATGTAAGGTTCACCATCCCCCAGAAGATGAGCATAATACAAATTTCACTGGGACCCCTATTGCTGGGACCCATGGAAGTCAGTGCACTGGAATTTTTCTGAAGCATTGAAGAAAAAAGGCAGAGTGTGCATTCGTTTTGTTCTGTAAGTGCATTTAGCAAATAGTGTTTCTTGGTGTCTGGTGACTTGGACTTTCTGGTAAATCAGGATGTCAGGCATGAAGGCAGCACTTTCTTTGGCTCCCAAAAGAGAAATTACAAGGTTCTGAAATCTGCAAGGCTTTCTTCAGAAGGCAGCATTTCTGCTTTAAAGCCCACACTATTCATTTGATGTCTCCGCTTTGTGATTGTTTATTGGTTTCTTTGTTTTAGGAGCGTGAACAAAGCTATGACGGGCAGCAGCCCCTTGCTGGTACTGTATCTCCAGACTCCCTCTTTTCCCCATTGGTGATAACTGAAGTTTTCCTTGCTTTTGTTTGCCTCTCCCTAATGTGTTAATGGGAGTAAAGCTTTATTCCAGCCTCTGCCAAACCAAGGGAGGGGCAAAGAGATTGGCAGGCATGCTTCCAGCAGTATGGATGGAGAATGAGGCTCCCAGAGCTTCCAGGTTCCCTTCTGACTTTTCAATATAATCCCCAAACTGTTTCTTCATCAAATTTGACCTTCTAGCAGAAGAACATCAAACATATTTTTTTTAAAAAAAACTTCCTTGATATTTCCTTGAAATCATAAAATACTATTCTTTTGAGTACTTAGTGGTAGAAGAGTGGCTTATTATTTGGGGTTTTCATTTTTTCATCCAATATAGAAAGCCTTGTGGCACTAAATGAAAATGTCACCGTGTAAAATGCAAAGGCTTTCTGTCACAAACGTTTTTAAAAATTCATGAAGGTCTGAAGATTTGATTTATCTTTTCCTCTTTCTGTGATTTATTCATATTTAATGTTAGTTTCAACAATCACAACATGAAGAACCTTTTCAAATAAAAAATGGCAAATGAGTTTCATTTGAAGAAAAAAACCAACCATACCAGTTTTTAATGACACAGTTTATTGTTCTTCCCATGTTCACGGGACAGAAAGTTTGTTTTTCCTGGTGGCTTCATTGTTGGGAATGTCAATTCACCTGGCTATTTGCATGTGGCAATGGTTTCTCTCATGTCAGTGGACACTTCTCATTGGGCATTAATCATGTTTACAGGGGTGTAAGGGCAGAAAGAAGAGTGGAAACAGCTCTCACCTCTGGAATGGTTGAGTTGGCTTGTTCCTGTGTTTGATTTGGGTTCTGAACTGCTGGATAGCCTGTGACCTCAGGGACATCTTTAGGCAGGGACAGTCTTTCCTAAGGATGATTCGTAAATAAGAATAATAGAATTAGCTTCAAATGAAGTAGAAGAGCAGACTCAAAGTGTTTGGCTTGGTTTTATTTTTTTAAACAAAACTGATCAATGGACATCGGGTCTGAGGTGTCGACATTTAGGTCTTGGAGGACTAACCAACTGGTAGGAATGGAGCTGAAGACCCTCCTTGCTTTTGTTTTATGAGATAGGTATATTCTTCCTAAAGGACAAGAAATTTTTGCTCACACCCACAAGGTAAATGGTTTCTTAGATGGTAAAAAGGACTTAATGAAGGCCCAATGGTTCTGAACAGTCTAGCTCCTGCCTGTCTGTCCACCTTCCTATTCTCCCACCCATTCTTCCGGCTCTCATCTCTGTATTCCTTCCCTTCGTTTTTCCTACTTGTTCTCATTCTTCCACTGTGAGCTTATGTTAGAGCATCTGCACCGGGCCTCCATAAATTTTATCAGCTTGTCATAAAATGAAGGAAACTGCACCAGTTTTTTTTTCTGTTCAAAATAATAAGAAACCTGTAAAAAGTATCAAGAGAGGAAGATAGTAGAAGGCACAAAGAGTCTTCAAAGAAAAAGCCCTTTTTTCTTCTTTACTCCTTTGTTTGTCACTGAGGACAAAATCCATTAATGTGTGGCAGCCAATCCACAGAGCAGTCTCAGTTCATGGCTGTGGTTTTCAGAACCAGGTCTGGGGGGTTTCCCACTGTGGTTTTGATTTTGTTCCTTTGCTCATAAAGAGAGTCATCCTGATGTGTAAATCATCCTGTTTCCTCCTCAGACAATTGGGAAGAAGTTACCTCCAGCTACATCAACTCCAGATCCATCAAAACCAGAAATGGACAGCAGGACAAAGGGTGAGTTTCCTTAATTACCAAAATTCTTTATATACCTCTGAAAGCTTTTGTGTATCCATCCATTAAAAAAAAGCACACAAATGTGTCTCCTTAGACAGCCATGAGTGTACTGGAAGGACAAGTTAAAATCAGAATTCTTCTGTTTTTGATGGGGGCAGTTTGATCCTTTCCTGCCACATCCATTGCAGCAACATGCAAAGTTAGAGTTTGTCCATATTTCTGCAGGTTAAGTGACCCAAGGACTCAGAAAGTGCGAACTAAAGCACATGAGAAATTGCTGGATCCTCATTAGCTAGGCCTAACCACTTAGCCATCATTACTCTCCTTTCACTTACTTAGGCGGAGGCTGTTCGTTCATTTCCCGGCTGCTCAGACCTGAAATAATCACATAAAAGCTCTATAAATTAAAAACACTACTTGACCTTTTAGCTCAGGCTTTTTGTTAATTAACTGTTACATTTTAAATTAACCCATTCCTATTATTTTGTATTTTACCACGAGGCTCATGGTTTGCTGGTAAGGTTTTGGGGCTTCTGTTTCCTTTGGCAGCTATTCTCTCTTTCTATCTCTGTTTGAATTTTGAACAGGCAGTCTCCTACTACACACTTATGCTGGACTCCTCAACACGTCTTTTTAAAAACTATTTTGATTTCTAACTATGTATATGCATGTGTTTCTGCGTTGGGATATATGCACGCGAATGCGGGTACCTGCAGAGAGCAGAGGCATCTGAGTTCTGGGAACTGGAGTAACAGTCACTTATGAACCACCTGGTATGGGGATGCTGGAACTTGAACTCCAGTCCTCTGCAAGAGCAGTACACACTCTTAACCATTTAGCCATCTCTCCAGCCCCACATCTATTCTTGAATGTCTTCAAGTGTTCCTATGGTATCTTCAGGCAAGAGACTCAAGTCTTTTGGACGGACTAGGCTAGTAGATGAGAAGAGATTAGTTTCATACAGTTTAAAAATTTCTGATGGCCACATTAAAAATTGGAAGCTAATTTTAATGTATTTAGGTCAATATATATACACACATACATATATACATACATACTTATATATAACCTTATCTATAACCAGTTATTTATATATATAAAACTTTTTCAATATGTAATCTCTATAAAACTATTAGTAAGATGCTGTGCTTTTCTCCAGTGTTTTGTCTTCACAGTGTTCTGTGTGGTTTGCAGGTATTGTGTATCTCGGTTTAGAGTAGCAGCCACATTTTCGAGTGTTCATTAGTCACGTGTGCCCATGGGTGACCACGTTGGACAGTGTATTTTAAGAGGAATGTTGAAGCCCTTGACAGAAAACCGCAGCTCTCACAGAGATAGTCTCTGCTGAGCCAAATATGAGTGGCCATGGCCTAGGAACATGCATTGAGGTTGCTCCGCATGACAGGTTCCAATACAGAACAGTTGCCTGAGCCCTTTTATAGCCACAGAGCAAATGAAAGTCCTAAGTCAAGGCTTTCCCACAATTCTTCAATGAAAACAGCAGGTAGGCAGGCTAGGTTTTAGATGTTCTCCGATGACATTCTTAGCTTTTGCATTTGTGGATGCTAGTCATCTGCTAAGTGTATTTTACAAAGGTTTTGCCTTTGAAATTTCCCCAATACAGAGGTAGATAGTACATAGTTATTAAGAGAAATGAAGATAGCCCAAGATAATTTTGATTCTCAAAGATCTATACTGTTCTGTCTTTTCACAGTCAAAATTTGAAACAGTAGGTCAGCCTTGTAGAGTCTTCAACATATATGTGACTTTTTTCTGGGAACTTCAGTTTATAGGGCCAACGATGGCGCCTTGATCTAGGGGATGTACACAGTTGCAGATGACGGCTCCCTTAGGCATGTGGTAGAATGCCAGCCCTCCACCATGCCTTGTTCAGTCATATAAATATCAGTAAGCCCCATCCATGTACCTGACTCTCCAGAAGCATTATGGTCAGGGAATTGGTTATTCACAACGCAGGGATTTAACAGAGACTAGATGGAGTGTTTTATCTTAAGAGTCCTAGGAGGACCGGGTGTTATTAGCTACCAACATGACCCCAGACAAATTACTTGCTTTGATTTCTCTGGTCTTTATTCTCATGGTTTGCTTTATGTATGCAGTCAGAGTGTTGCATTAGACAAAGAAAAGCCCTTAGGTTTCTCCCAGCATCTTAAAATCCTCTCAGTCAGTCCTAAAAGCGTTAGGACCCATTGTGGAAGGTTTTTCCACTCCAAAGCATTGAGCAGCCTGAGAAACAAAAGGAAGACAGTTCTGTGAGAGTGTGCATTATTATTGGAAATCGATGTTAATATGCCTGTCAGTGGGCATCAGGCCTGGAGGGATTTGCTGTTTACTCTTGGGCATTTTCCACGGATCTGAGGATAAGAATTTTCACAGCTGAATTTTACTGTACACATTCTCCATCTGGCCTTCCTTGCCAAGAGAAAATTTCAGGGTAATTGCTCTCCCATGATTGCCATTTAGTAGAACCCCAGGCCATTAGAATTCCTCCAACTTTTGAATCAGTTCCCTGTTTCTGGATGCTGATGCCATATCTGTGTTCAGGTAGGTTACAGAGTGTTGAGCAGCCTTTGGAAATGACCCTGGGCTTACTATCCAGGCAGCTTCATTTCTTCTTCCTTCTGGCCTGAAATAGAAACCATGGCAAAGGATGCCCAGCAGCACAGAGGAGAGCTGCTTCTTCCTGCCAGCTGTCTCCTCAGCACACTAAACCACAAGCTCACATCAGGATCCAGAGTTATGATGACTCAAAAATACTCATGTGAGTTGGTATGTTTTGAGTGATCCAGATTTATTTAAGCAGGGAACATTCTCCCCACCCCACCCCCAAACAAAAGGCTTTTATGATACTGAAATTCATCAGCAACTCATGCTGAGGAACAGATTGCCATAATTTTCATAACAAGAGGAAAACTATCTAAATATTCATAACAAAGTACCCCGAGGTGCCTTCAGCTTATCACATCTGGTGTCTCCCTTTTTCTTATAACAATTGGTGCAGATTTGTGATCTCTGCAGGGTAGAAACATGGCCTAAAAGACAGACCTCTTTAGCATTAGCATCTTTCTGAACTATTAGTTCAAACTTCCAGATTCAGAAGGCACTAGATCAGTGTTTCTCAACCTGTGTCAAATGACCCTTTCACAGGGGTCACATATCAGATATCCTGCATAACAGATATATATAGTATGATTCAGAACAGTAGCAAAATGACAGTTCTGAAGTAGCAACAAAATACTTTTATAGTTGGGGTAACCATAACATGAAGAAATGTATTAAAGGGCCACAGCATTAGGAAGGCTGAGAACCACTGCTCTATATGTATAAGTAGATTTGGAAAGTAAAACTGCCTGGCAGACTTTGTACAAAGTGGGATCAGGTATCTGAATAAAGTATGATAGGAGGTGGGAGAGGGATACAGGCTCAGTCTCCCCAAAGTTTTCTCTCTTCCTAGAAACCACTCCACTAATCTGCTCTCTAGATTCACAGTGAGGGCCTTCCTGTGATGAGAGCCAGCTATCTAAGCTGTTTAAAGTCAGCCTTTCAACTTCGGTCCTCTTGGAGAGGACAGGCTTCCTATTTTCCTTATGGCTAGCCTTTCTCCCAGTCTCCAGGCATTTCATCCGAGCAGGAAAGAACTGCCCATGAGAGTAGTAGCACTTGGGCCTTACCCTGAGGTACAACAGAAAGGTTTTGCTTCTCAGGTTGCATCTTATTCTTTTGAAACAATGCTTCTCTTTTAAACATGAGAGCAAAAGGTGTTATAATTAATACTTGTGACATGATTGGAAAGTCAAACTCCCAGCAGTGTCTAAGATCAAAGGCAAGTGAACCATCAGTTTCTTCCTAAGGGGAGCTGGTGGGTTGGAATTGACAAACACGCTTTCATTTCCATGTCTGACTTTAAGTGTAGACTAAGGTGGTACTTAAATGTGGGCCAGATCATTCTCTGTTGTGGGGACTTTCCTATGGGCATCACAGAGAATTTAGCAGCCTCCCTGGCCTCTGTTCAATAGATTCCAGTTGCACCTTTTTCTCTCCAGTTGTGGCTATCAAAAATGTCCAAAGGTATTGCCAATGTCCCTTGGAAAGCTGTCTTTGTCTGTTCTGTATTCTGTTGCTATAGTAGAATACCACAGACTGAGCAGTTTATAAATGACAGAAGTGTATTTGCCTCATGGTTCTGGAAGCTGGGGGACGAAAGACACAGGAAACATCTGGTGAGTGTCTTTGAGCTTTGGTGAAAAGTATCCCATGGGCCAGAAAGAATAAGAGGTTGGGGATATGAGTTGGTGGAGTATTTGTCTACTATGCACAAGAGGCTTGGTTCAATTCTCGGCAGCACTCAAAATGACATGGTGATGCATGGTTGTGTTATCACAGCACTCTAGAAATGAAGACAGGAAGGTCAGGAGTTCAAGACCATCCTCAGCTGCACGAGTTTGAGGTCAACCTGGAATATGTGTGATTCTGTTCCAAACAAAACAAACCAGGCTGTCAAGAGGGCTCAGTGGATAAGAATGCCTGCTTTGCAAGTATGAGGACCTGACTCTGTTTGTTTGTTTGTTTATGGTTTTTTGAGACAGGGTTTATCTGTGTAACAGCTCTAGCTGTCCCGGAACTTGCTTTGTAGACCAAGCTGGCCTCAAATTCACAGAGATTCTCCTGCCTCTAACTCCCAAGTGCTGGGACTAAAGGTGTGTGCTACCACCACCCGGCAGGACCTGAGTTTAACTCTCCAGAACCTGCATATTAAGTCAGTCATGGCTGCACATGCCTGTAACTTCAGTGTTGGGGAGTGAAGACAGGAAAGACCTGGGAGTGTAAAAGTTCAGATAGTTTTTGGCCAGCCAGCCTACCCAAAATAGTGAGCTTATGACTTGCTGAGAGAACCTATCCCAAGACAATAAGGCAAAGACAATAGGAGACAGTACCAACATCCTGTTCTAATCTCCATATGCATGTCTGTGGGCACACAC